TTCCTCCCCTCCCTATTCTCCAAGACTAGACGCCTTGTTAGAAGGAGAGCATGGGGGTCCCACCAGGGCCCCACCCAGCTACCACCTCATCCCGAGTTACCTGCTCAGATGCCGACCACCAGCCAGGAATTGCCTTCTCCCTGACACTTGCGGCCGGTCTCTCAGACCCAGGGGGGATTAATTGGCAGCTGCAGCGCCGTGTGCAAAGGATTAGCAGAGGCCGAACAGGGGAGGGGAGGTGGCGGTAGAAGACAGGCGCTCCAGGCCCAGGCAGCCAGCAGCAACCCTCCAGGGGCCAGCAGGAATCTAGGTCCAGGGAAGGAGCCCCACATGGCCCTGGTTGGGGCCCCATGAGTCACCAGGTTCCAGGGGCCCAGTTTGCCACATACCTTGACCAAGCCAGAGGGTGGCCGGTGGAAGAATAACAGCTTGATGTCCCCGTGTGATTCTGGAAGACTCTAGGTGGCAGAGGCTTGTGAGCTCTCAGTCAGCAGTGGCAGGAGGCACACCCATCCCTCCAGCTCCAGACCCAGGACTCACACAGTCTCTCTGGCCCAGGCTTCTGCAGCTTGGGCAGGACCTCAGTAGCCCCTGCCTTGGGCTCTGCCCAGTCGGCCGTGGTCCCAGGGCTGGGTTTTTAGGAAGAATCCAAGGACTGAGGGATGGCTGACTGTGTGGGAGCTGGCCCCCGAACTGAGGTCCAGCCCTAGTGGGGACACAGAGATCTTGGGGGAGAGAGGGACAGAGGCCCAGTGAAGAGGGGATCAGTGAGGTGACAAGAAACTGGGCGGGAGTACAGTAGAGGGGTGACCAGCAAGGGATGGGGACTTTGTCGTCCACACCATCGCCTGAGCTCCTCCTCTGTACCCAGCAGCGTGCACACGTGAGTGGCAGTGGGAGGAAGGCAGGCAGGCCTCCATGAAGAAGGGAGATTTGACCCGAGACAGGAAAAGCAAGAGCTGAATGGACCGTGTTCCAGACAGAAGACACTGCAAGGGTAAAGGTCGGGAGGCCGGAATGAGCCTGGAGGCACCCGATGAACAGGGAGGGGGCCAGGGACTTAGAGGGTGTGAGGAAGAGCGTTGGGAGATGAAGTCGAGGTTGGCCAGGACGGATCACGTACGGCCCATAAGCCATGGTAAGGTCTTTGGGTTTTAGTGGACGGCCCAGGGAAGCCCATGATGGTTTTGAACAGGGGCCAGGCAGCACCGGTGCGGCTGATGTGCGGTGAGCATGTGAACTGGTCAGGAGCCTGCAGAGCGACAAATCATCCTGTGACCCAGTGACCTCTGGCTTCTTCCCCTCCATACATAAGCATATGAGGGACATCCACACTGGTGTGTGGCCAAAGTTTGTTCATTTTCCTCACCCTAGAACCGTTTTCTCTTCCCCCAGGCACATCTGACTTCGCCCACTCCCCAGGGGTTCCGCTGCCTTGAGGTTGCTCAGCCTCGGGCGGGGAGCACAGACCAAGCCTCACCCACGCAGGGCCCCATTCGATCACTCCTCCCCCAGCGCCCTGTGCATGGCCTCTGATAGGCAAGGTAGCTGGCATGCAAGGATGCTCTTGCTGCCGCGAGGGCCAACAGCAGTGACAGAGCTCAAAGTGGTCCCTGCCTGTCCTCTTTAAATATGCCAGGCTGTAGGGGATAAAGGCTCCTGCCATGGCACCTCTGGCCAGGCCCTGGCTGGGGATAGCAAGCTCTTCAGCTCTGCCCGGCCTGTGAGATGGCCTGTGAGATGGGTGATATTCACCCTGGCCTCTAGCTTGATGGAGGCCCATGCAGAGGTGACAAGGCTTGGGCTGGGTGGGTGGCAGAGGCAGAGAGAAAGAAGAGGGAGAGGAAAAGGGAGGTGTTGAGGGTGTAGCTTGAGCAACTGGGTGGCAGGTGGTGCCATTTACCCAAAAGAGGAAGCCTGGGGCTGGGAGGTGGGAGGAAGAGTTTGGGGGGGTGGGGAAGGAGAAGAAATCATGAACTCTACTTTGGTAAGATGTCTGAGAGACGTCCAAGGAGAAATGTGCAGTAGGTGGTGAGGGGTGTGCGTGTGTATATGTGTGTCTGGAGTTTGGGGAGATATATGTGTTAGGGGCGCCTGGGTGGTTTGGTGGGTTAAGCATCTGACACTCAGTTTCGGCTCAGGTCAGAGAGTTGAAGCCCCACATCTGGCTCGGCGCTGACAGTGCAGAACCTGCTTAGGATTCTCTCTCTCCCTCTCTCTCTGACTCTCCCCTGCTCATGCTGTCTCTGTCTCTCTCAAAATAAATAAATCAACTTTAAAAATTAAAAAAAAAAAAAAGAAATGTTGGACTCATGAGCTCAGCTTGTACATGCTGCTTAAAGCCATAAAACGGATTCAGGACCCCTGGGAAATTCAGTGCAACTAAAGAAAGAAGGGGACAAAGATGGCCCCTGGAACCCTCTGGCACATGGAAGAGCAGAAAGCAAGCACGCTGCAGGCCCAGGGGAGTGAGGCACTGGAGAAGGAGTGATCGCATGGGACCTTGCATGAGTGAGGCTTGGTCTGTGCCCCCCTCCCTGGGCTGAGCAACCTGGAGGCAGCAGAGCCTCTGGGGGGTGGGCAAAGCCAGATGTGCCTGGGGGAAGAGTAAGGGGTTCTAGGGCGAGGTAAACGAACAAACTTTGGCCACACACCAGTGTGGATGACCCGCATGTGCATATATATGGAGGGAAAGAAGCCAGGCTCAAAAGACCCCAACGATCCATACATACAAAGTTCAAAAGGCGCAAAATGAGCCCATCTTGTCCATGACTGCACTCATAGGTAGTAAGAGGAAGAAGAAAAGCAGAGGTGGTGTGGTGACATTATGCAGCCAGAGAGCGGCTCCCTCTTACGGGTTGTGGGGGGGGGGGGCGCAGAACTGGGGAGGAGCATGTGGAAGCTTCTAGAGGCTGGCATCATTTCTTGCTTTCTTTAGCTGGCACCAATGTTTTAAAACAACTTGACTGAGGTATAATGTATATGCCATAAAATTTGCCCATTTTAACTGTACAGTTCAATGATTTCTAATAAATTGACTGAGCTTTGTAACTTGTACCATCCGGTTTTAGAACATTGTCATCATTGCCTCAACGAGACCCTTCACACTTGATGGGAACCACTCCCCGTCCTCAGCCACAGCTCCAGGCAGCCGCTGATCTGCTTTCTGTCCCCTAAACTTGGCCTTTTTTGAACATTTTATGGATCATATAACACGTGGACTGTTTTTTGTCTGATTTGTTTCATTTAGCGAAATGTTTTTGAGGACCATCCACATGGGAGCATGTATCAGTACTACTTTTTAACTCTTGAGTATTCCAGGGCGCCTGGGTAGCTCAGACTGTTAGGCATTCGACTCTTGGTTTCAGCTCAGGTCATGATCTCATGGTTTCATGAGTTCAAGCCCTGCATTGGGCTTCGTGCTAGCGGCACACAGCCTGCTTGGGATTCTCTCTCTGCCTCTCTCTCTGCCCCTCTCCCACTCACGCTGTCTCTGTGTCTCTCAAAATAAGTAAATAAACTTAAAAAAATTTTTTTTAAATTCTTGAGGCACCTGGGTGACGCAGTCGGTTAAGTGTCTGACTTTGGCTCAGGCCAAAGTCTCACGGTTCACGGGTTCAAGCCCTGTGTCAGAGTCTGTGATGACAGCTCAGAGCCTGGAGCCTGCTTCAGATTCTGTGCCTCCCTCCCTCTCTGCCCCTCTCCCTCTTGCACTTGCTCTCTCTCTTTCTCTCTCTCAAAAATAAACAATTTAATTTTAAAAAAATGTTTAAATCTCGAACAGTACTTGGTAGAATTTACTTACTCACTAGTCAATGGACTCGAGTTGTTCCACTTATTGGCTGTTTGAAATTATGCTGCTGTGAACACTTGTGTGTACGTTTTTGCATGGACCTATATATTTTCCGTTCTCTCGGGAAGATTCCTAGGGGTAAAATTGCATGTTATATGGTAATTTTATGTTTTGTGTTTTAAGAAACTGCTAATCGGTTTTGCATAGTACCTCCTGTCTTGACCTGAATGATAGTACATGAGCTCTTGCTTTATAAATTATTAGTTGTGGTCTATATTTATGCATTTACTGTACTTTATTATATTTTTTAACTTTAAAAGAAAAATAATCTGGGGGTGGGGTGGTGAGTAGAGTCAACTCCGGGGAAGTCTGCTCCGAGGAGTGGGACCTGGGGGTCTGGGAGCTGTATGCAGCACTGGAGGTGGAGCAGGCAAGGAGCCAAACCGTGCGTGAGCCTCACAGGAGGGGTCCCCGGACCTGCCATGCTCAGCACCTGGACAGGTGGATGTGGGGCTATGCCGATACAGGCAAACAAGTCCGACTCTCCCCAGGGTTTTGTCACCTGTGGGGTCCATTGCCAATGTCTGTGACCGGGATGGTGGGCAGGCACCGGGCTTTCCAGTGCTGGGCTTAGGCACTCATGACCTCTCTTTCCTGGGAAGGAAGGAGGGAGGCTGCCGGCCTGCAGGGGGCCAGGGCTAGAATATCACCTGCTAATCCCTATCCTGCTGAGGCCACCACTCTCCCTGATCCCTTTATGCTGACCCTGGATACTGGCCACTGTTAATCGCCACCCCTGGAGACCCAAGGGCTGGCAGGCAGGGCCGTGCCCTCAGGTCTCCAGGAGAGCCCACAGTCTGCCTGCATGGCATGGCCTAGGGTCTTGCCTAACAGAGCCTTGAGACCTAGAGAGAGACAGCCACTAGTCCAGGGTCACACAGCCTGCCCTGGCTAGCCCTCGCACGGCCACCTCCAGGGAGCCCGCTTCCTGTCGGACATTTCTCAACATGCCTGGCTTGAGCAGAGACCCAGGAGATGGCAACCTTCAGGAAAGCTGAAAGGGGGGCCAGAGCACAGCACTCCTGCTAGCTGGCTCCTCTCCTCAGAGCCTACAGCTGCCAGGGTTGCCGAGGAGCCGGCGTCCTCACAATCAGGCTGCAGTGGGCATTGTCTCTGCAGAATGTTCCTTTATGCTCCTACTGTATAAGGCTCTGGGGCCGGCCCATCTCCCTGCCTCTTCTCCCCACTGAGCAGTCGGAGGAGCAGAAAACCCTCATAGGCCTGTGCACCTGGGGCCTGTGCCCTGCAGACGAGGTAGTCACTGCCGGTGGGTCAGGAGCAGCGCGCCCCTCCTCCCCTCTTCTCCCCACCCCACGCCCTGTCCTCCCCATGCAGGCCAACCCCCTGGGGCAGCTTCCCCAGGCCAGTCACCCTGCCCTCTCCCTGCTCCTCCAGGGTCCAAGGTCCTCGCTCCTCCTGCCCACATACCACCCACCTCCCTCTCGCACCTGTAACTGGGTCAGGAAGAAAGCAAGCCGGCTCAACAAATCCTCACTGAAGTTTAAATGACCGAAAGGCTGTGGGAATAGTGGCTCTTTAAAAAGAGGCACTGAGTAACCAGCAATGCTTTGTAGTTCATATCTCTCATGCCTCTCCCCTTGTTTAAAACTTCCCTATGTCTCCCTGTAGAATTCTGAGTAAATGCCAGACACTTTAGCTAAGGCCAGAAGTCCATAATTAGCTACCCAGAGGCAGACTGAGCTAAATTCTGAACCCACTTGCTGCTGCTGCTTCCTGATCATTATTTAAGAATAGATTCCTACGTCTCCTCTTTTAGACCGTTCCCAACCACACACACCCTGTGCTCACCTGTCAGAGGGCTGAGCCCACCGTGCGTGTGCACAAGCCCGCGCGCGTCCGGGTGTCCCTGACTCCACACGGGGAGCTCCTCGCCGAAGGTAGGTCCTCAGTAACCGTTGGGCGAGTAGACAAGTCCGCACTGGCTAAGGCCGCGCCGCCCCCACGGAAGGGTATTTGGTCAGGGTGTCTCTGCTCCCCAGCCATGGCCCGCATCATCGACCTGGTGCCCTGGGAGGACGGCTCCACCCACGTGCACGCGTCCCCCGCCATCCTGCTGCCGGCGGAGCGGACGCGCAACCAGCTGGCCGGCGTGAAGCGGCAGCTCTACCACCCGGCCCTGCCCAGCCTGCGCCGCATGGACATGGACTCTGTCCGGGCCTGTCTTTCGGACGAGCATTGCCGGTCCACCACCTACTGCCGCAAAGGTCAGGCCGCCCAGCTGCCCCTGGTGCCCCGGCCCCTGTGGGCCTCTGGGGAAGGAGTGGGAGAGCCCTGCTGGAGGGCAAGGCCATCCTTGGCGCATGGAAGTGTTAAGACCAGCATGGAAGACCAGCTCTGCTTAGGTCTGAGCCTCTGCTTCCCTATCAGGAAAATGGGGATGTTAACAGGGCCTGCCTCGAAAGGTTATTGTGAGAGTAAGACAAGCCAAGAGAAGCACTTAAAGTAGTACCCAGCACCTAGTACGGCTCACCAACAGTATGATGGTTGTTACTCAGAGAGACAGCTGTGCTGAAGTCAGTAGTCGCAGTAGTAGAAGTGAGAATAAAAGCGATGACAGCTTCTGCCCAACCTGCTCTCCAGGTGGAAAAGAGGAAGATCCTCCAATCACTTCCGGTGAATGGGAGGAGGACATGAGAGTCTTTGGGGTGAAAAGGCCACATGGGCCCAAGGAATAACTTTTCATCCATTGAGAGGCTTGGGTGTGGAGGTGGGGGTACCTGTGAATGAATGAATGAATGAATGAATGAATGAATGAATGCACATTCATTTCCACACATTTATGAAGCACTTGCTTGGTGCCTGACACTGAGCCGTGGCAGCAGGAAAACAAAGGTGACCTAGCTAGAGGGAACAGCATGTACAGGAGCCTGGAAGGGAAAGGCTGCATGAGGTGTTGGGTGAACTTGGGGGGTTTGGTTGGGTCAAGGGACCAGGTCAGTGGCCACAGCAGGAGCTGGGGCTGGGGACAAGGGCACAGCTCAGAAAGGGCCCTGCTGCTAAGCTCAGGGGCCTGGACTTGGGAAAGAAAGAGGAAAGTCTGAAGACCTGAAGCAGAAAAGAGATCTGAGCCTTCTGAGGATGGGAAGGGGGTGGAGGGTGACCCAGAGGGACCAGAGGTGGATAAGGGTGGGGGTTGTTAAGACACTGGGAGGGACCACAGTCTTCAGGAAGGAGTGACAATGTCTTGGCCACAGGAAAGGGTTTTGGAAGGTACTTAGGAGATAGAGTAAGAGGATGTGGTAGTGGTGTGGGTGAGACACCAGAGCAGAGAGTCTGGAATGATGCCCAGGTGGTGCCCAGCTGAGGTGACAGGTGGGGTGAGGGTGCCAGAGACTGCAATGGAGATCTCCAGAGATCCGGTGCAGAGCCCTGCAGGGCCAAGATGGGAAATGCCGGAGGTGGGCGGGGAGGTGGGGAGGAGGGAGGGATGAAAGGTGAAGTGGAGCCTCCACACCTGTCCCTCTACGGGCAGCAGCCATGGGGTTCCCACTAACTGCTTCGTGGGAAGGCTCTTGGAAGCCAGGAATATAGATTTTTAGGGAAAGCTCTTGATTTAGATATATATTTTATCACAAGTATATACTTTTAATAAAAGTAATAAAGTCACAGCTTCAAAATTCAAAATGCTGTAATAATGTACATTTTAACAGCTCACTCCCTGCACCCTCCACCTCTGCTGACTTACAGCTGTCCATCCAGTTCCTAATGTATCCTTCCACTGTTTACGAATGCAAATACAAACAGGGGCGCCTGGGTGGCTTAGTCGGTTAAGCGTCCGACTTTCGCTTAGGTCATGATCTCGCAGTTCGTGGGTTCGAGCCCCGCGTCGGGCTCTGTGCTGACTGCCAGCTCAGAGCCTGGAGCCTGTTTCAGAGTCTGTGTCTCCCTCTCTCTCTGACCCTCCCCTGCTCACGCTCTCTCTCTCTCTCCTAGAAATAAATTAAAAAAAAAAAATTAAAAAAAAACGAATGCAAATACAAACATATATACTTCTGCTCCCCAAATTTTACTATGAGCATATTCAAACATAGAGAAAGTTTGAAAGGATAATACTATGGACACCCATTGTCTTCCATCTGCTTCAGGTAATATATTACCATGTTTGATTCTTCTCTCTCTAACATACACAGCCCCCCTCACACACCCTCCCACACTCTTTAGCAGTGTGGGAGAGTTATCACTCTCCCAGCGATAACAGCCTCCTCTATGACACAATACCATGATCACATCTAGGAAACTTAATAATTCCATAACCTAATATGCAGTCCATATTTAAATGTCCCAAATGACCCCTAAAGATATCTCATAGCTTTAAAATCCTTCTGGGGGTCACTGGGTGGCTCAGTCGATTGAGCATCCAACTCCTGGTTTCGGCTCAGGTCATGATCTCTTGGTTTCATGAGTTTGACCCCCATTAGGCTCTGTGCTTGCAGGCTGGAGCCTGCTTGGGATTCTCTTTCTCCCTCTCTCTCTGCCCCTCCCCATGTGTTCTCTCTTTCTCTCTCAAAATAAAAAAATAAACTATAAAATAAAATAAAATAAAATAAAATAAAATAAAATAAAATAAAAACCCTTTTTGAATCAAGCTGCAATCTAGGATTGTGCATTGCAATTGGGTGTTACATATCTTTAGTTTTAGTCTGATATAGTCCACCCACTTTCCATTGTTCCCTAAGACCCAATTTTTTAGAGTTCAAAATAGTTACATTATAGACAGTCCTACATTGTGAACTTAAGTGATTGTTTCCTTAGGGTGTTGTTTACCTTGATTGTTTTCTGTCAACTAGAAGCTAGATGGAGAGGCCTGATTAATCAGGTAAAGTGGTGCTGGCCAGAATCTTGCATGTTCACCATAGTGCTTCGGCAGAAGGCATATCATGTTATTATCCTACTATTCGTGATGCCAAGTCTGATGACTTGGTTAAGGCGATGACATGAATGTATATTCTTCTCTGACTCCAAGTCCCTCAGTTTTAGGTTTTAAAGCAAAAGGTAGCACACAGCATATACTCTTCTGCACCTGGGAGGTCTCATATCGAGAACTTCCTCTATCTATTTTAAGTGGCTGCATAGTGAGGATGTATCAGAGTGTATTTAGCAAGTCCTTTAATGACAGACACGTGAGCTATTTCTGGTCATTTTCTCTTATGAACAATGTTGAAATGGATAGATCTTTTACCCACATCATTTCCCAGTTGTGTGTTTGGAATGTGGGATAAATTCCCAGAAGTAGGACTGTAGGGTCCAAAGTAGAGGAGACACCTACCCTTCCCTCTCTGTTTCTTCTTCAGATGACTTTGACAATGCCTACTTCACACTTTTTGGAGTCCCCAACAAACCCCTACAGTGCTTGGTGAGTGTTTTTTGCTTCTGGCCCTTGGTTTGTTCAGGGGAGAAGGTGTGAAGGCCCTGCCTGTGCTCAGCCCCAAGTACCTCGGGCTCTCCAGCTGCCTGCTTGGGCCCCTGCCCCCTTCCCATCTCCTTTAGGGGCTTCAGGCTCTCCATCAGGCCCCTGGGTCAGATGGGCCAAGTTGTCAGCTCCTGTCTATGGGGTGGTCTGGGTCGCTCCCAGGCTTCTGCACCTACCACGCAGCCCTGACTCCCATCGCCCGGCAGGACGTCACCGAAACCGGCCGGAGACTCCGAAACAGGTGCCATGAGGGAAAACTGGTACCCATCACACCGGGCATCAACCGGGTGGACTGGCCCTGCTTCACTCGCGCCATTGAGGACTGGTCCCGCTTCGTGTCTTCGGCCGGCGAGTTCAAGTTGCCCTGTCTGAACAAGAGGGGTCAGTCTACTGGGCTCGGAGGATGCCATAGGGCGGGAGAGACCCGGGGCGCAAACTGTGGGTGGGGGACCTCAGGTCGGCTGCGACAAGAACAGCGGGGAAGCTGAGGAGCAGGTGGGGCACACAGAGCGTGCGGGACCGAAATGGGCTGAGGTTACTGAGAGGTGGGGTTCGTCTTGGATAGAGGACAGGGGCCAAGTCCAGGCCAGAGGGAGCCATTGGGGCGGAGGCTGCGCGCGGGGCTGGTTCCGGCGCCCTTGGAGCAGGGTCTGGAGGCGGGGCTTGTTCTGGCGAGGCTGTCGAGGCGGGGCGGGCTCTAAGAACAGGTGTGTGGGCGTGGTTTGATCTAGGGGCGGGCTCAGGTAAGAGCGGGGGCGGGGTTTGTCCGCGGCGGGCTGGGGGATGCAGATGGGCGATCTCTCCGCAGTGGAGAGTTTCAGTGGCTACGCAGTGCGGTACTTGAAGCCGGAGGTGACCCAGAACTGGCGGGTAAGGAGGGCTACGCGCTGACCTGTCCTTGGGGACCAGGGGATGGGGAAGGAGAGGCTAACACGGGGAGCGGGGAGGGGAAAGGATGCCCAGAGCCGGTTTCCCAGTCCCCAAGGCTAAGATCTCTGGCAGAGAGCAATATGCGGGGCGGGGGAGGGGGTCAGTGTCCCCCTAGATTCACGGACCCCCCATTCCTCTGTCCCCGTGCCAGTACTGTCTCAACCAGAACCCCAGCCTGGACCGCTACGGACAGAAGCCCCTGCCTTTTGACACCCTGTAAGTGACACCATAGGCCCCAGGACCCCATACCTCAGGGAGGGAGGATGGGCCTCAGAGTACATGGGCAAATTCTTCAGAGTACACTTAGTACTCTTGAAACTGAGACCTAGGAAGAACTGCTTGGCTCCAATATACCCCCCAAAAATTGCAGTTTCAAAATGAATAGGTGTTTAATTCCCATTAAACAGAACACCCTGTCGTCCAGCGCCCTGGCAATCCCACCCTTTCGCAGTAGAGGCCTTAGATGGGACGAGGGTGGAGTTGAGTAATCCTTCTGATGCGATGTGCTTCTCGAGATGGGAGTGAGGTTCCCGGAGAGGGTCGCCCTTACCCCCCTTGGGCTCACCTTCCTCCACTTTTCCGCAGGAACGCTTTCCGAAGCTTCGGCTCAGTCTACAGGTAGGGGGATGACCCCGCCCCTGCTCCGCACCTAGCCAGGCCCCCCCCCTGTAGGCGCTGTGTCCATGCCACTTCTGGCTCTGGGGATTCTCAGACCCCTCTGCACCCGCGGGGCCTTGAACCAAGAGATTGGTACTTCCTGGGTGATATTAGGGAGCTGAGGTGCTTCCCTCCTGAGAGATCCTCTCCGGGCAAAAGCAGGCCTGCTGGGAGATGGGGGAGCAGAGCACCTATTTCACCAGATTTGGCTCAGACTAGGCCAAAAAGAGGAGGAGTTACCAGGGGGGAGAGCAGGGACTGGAAAAGTAAACAGACATGCAAGAAACATGGTGGAAAGAACTGAGAGTCCACCTTCCAGGAGGCTGATAGGTGGTAGGGGCTGAAGCTAGTGTTTCCAGAAGGAGTGTGCAAAATATTCAGGCCTCTTCATCATTTGATCATATCTCACCTACCCAGCCCCCTCCCCTCCACTGCAGTGGCACCAGACTCCTGGGTGTCGTCCAAAGGGCGAGCACAACCAGGCACCCCACACGTTTGCTGGTGCTGCTGCAGGGCCTTGATGATCCTTCCCTCTCTGCCTGGAAAATTCCTCCCCACCCTTGAAAGCCCAGCCTAGATGTCCCATCCTCCTGAAGTCTTTCCTGACCCCCTGCCTCTCCCCTCCAGCTCAAACCCCCGGGATTGCTCACCACACGCACAGGCCTATCTGACAGCATGCAGACTATGGCATTATATCGCTGGAGAGCTTGCCTTCTCTCACCCACCCCGTGCACACACAAAGGAATGCTTTCTGATTTCTTACTACTACATAGTGCCTGCTAGGGCAGGTGCACTAAATGAAAAATGAGTAAAGCAGTGCACGATTGGTCATCAATGGGAAACAAAAGATGAGGCAAAGTGGAAGCGGGGGGGACTTGAAAGTCCAGCAGAGTCGCTGAAAATATATAAATAAAAGGAAATAGGGAGCCATTGAAGGCTCTTGAGCCATAGAAAGGCAGGATGGAAGCTGTGCTTTCAGAGCCTTGAGGACAGGGGGTTTGGGGGGAAGGCCTGAAGGACAGCCTGATTTTCCAGGACACCCTGGAGGCCCCTGCTTCACCCCTGTTTCTCTCCGCAGTCGTGTCAACTACCTGACCCCCTGGCATTAACCTGTGAAAAGGAAGCCAATCCCTAGGCTGCTGGATTGTGCCATGTCCAGTCCTCCAGCGGGACAGAGGGGGTGTGGTGGCACTACCCCACTCCCTGAGAGTTCAGCCTGACTGGAAATAAACCTAATGGTCCCCAGGAAGGAACGAGGCGTGCACGTGTGTGTGTGTGTGTGTGTGTGTGTGTGTTGCACAGACTGGGAGAGGGGTCAGTATCTCAGGATGATGATGGCCTCCCCTCCCTGCCCCCTGCCGACTCCTGAGGGCTGGTGGGAGGCTGGAGAAAGATGTCTCGAGTCAGGGTCTAAGCCCAGGGTTCAGCCAGGGGTGAGGTGTAGAGACAGCCTGCGAACTGAGTTTTCCCTATGCCCCTGTCGCCTGCTTGTGGCCCCACAACCAGGCCCCCTCCTCCTCAGATGCTGAGCTTGGGCCCTGAAGAGGAAAGAGAAGGTTCAAAAGAGAGTTTTAGACACCGCTCTCAGAAGCGCCCAGCATACCAATATACTCGGGGTGGGGGTGGGGGGCGCTTCTCTGGGCCTGGCAGGCTGTGGTGGTCTAGAGGTAGCCTCTGGGTGTGCAGCAAGAGTTGCCTGCTCTATCCACAGAGCTTCAGGACTAGGTCTCATCTGTCCACACTCCGGAAAGGAAAGCATGACGTCCTGGGACCAGCCGGGGGCACTCCCGGGCCAGATCCAGAATAACCCCCACTCAAAGGGCCTAAGGAAGAGTGTCTCTGGCACGGGTAGGGAGTTAGAGAGCCAGGATAAATACTGAGCTCCCAGACCTTCCAGACACCCCATCCGCATCCCACTTGTGGGCAGTGTGCAAGGACAGATCCCAGTCAGGGTAAAGAGCCGCCCAGCTCCAAGACTGTTTGCACAAGACCCCTGCTGCTGGGATCTGGAGCCTCAGGGATCCATGAACCTTCGGAGATTGTGAGCAAAACTATGTGGTCCCCCACATAGACATTTTCTCATGGAGAGGCTCCTTGTTGTCATCTGATTTTCAGGAGAGTCAGCGTCCACAACTGACTGACACCCTCCTCTTCTCCTTCTACTACTATTTACTGAGCGCCTACTGTATGCAGGCCACGTCTCAGGTGGAAGGAATTTAAAGACTACTACCAGCCTCTTATTTCTGGACCCCATATTACACTATTCAGAACCCATTGCCATGTGGCTCATTTATCCCCTCCAGATCTCATGCTCTATAAACACTGAAAAGCAACCAGAACCAACGCTATCCCATATCACAGATGAGAAAACTGAAGCCCAGATCAGGAAGTCGTTCACCTCCATCCAGACCCAGGGCTCAGGACTCAAAGCAAGTTCCAGCATTTGACACCGTGTTCATGGATAGTTGGCACTCAATATTTGTAGAATAAGTTATTTCCCAGAATGGGAGGTCTTTTGTTCAATCTTGGGTAAAAAAACAAGGAGGTGAGTTGTGTTGTTGTCTAATAATGCAGACAGAGCCTGCCTTACAGACTCTAGGCTGATTTTAATTTCTTTTAGGGTTGGGGGTGATGGGTACTATCCTTATACCAAAGTGAGGAGCCGTGATGTCTGTCTCTCTGTCCTCACGTGTGGGGTTGTGCGGACAGCAGAGCCAGAACAGGAGCAGACAGGAAGCAGTGAGCAGATCACAAAGCCCCTTCCTCCTTTGGGGCCTATTCAGGAGGTACCTGCCTCCTGCCATTTCATGCAGAAAGAAACCCTTTCCTCCAAGCCCAGAGGGCAGTCCACCTTGCTGGAACCTTAGGAAGCCACAGGCAGAACCTTATGAGGCTGCAGCCCTGAATGCCACCTCCACCAGGACAGCTCAAAGAAGAGATGGGTTTGCCCAAGGCTCCTGTCACAGCGTGCTTCAGCATTCTAGTGAGAATCACGTCCCTGGGGGGTTTTCCTGGCCCTGCTTCCTGGACACTGAGTGACTGGGCAAGGCCCTGCGGGAATTCGGCCCAGCAGACAGTTGAGGCCTTGCCCCTCCCCATGGCGAGTGCAGGAAGGACACAGACCGGATGCTGTCCCTGCCTGTGAGGTGCTTTCAGTCTAGAAGGAGGAAGGCAGGCCCAGCTGATTCAAACATGAAAGCAGAAGGTGAGAACGTGGGCACACCTAGACCACGTCCCTCAAGCGCACAACACCATGAATGGTAACTAACCCACACCAGCGGTTTCATTTGGTTCTCGCCCATCAAGTGTGCACTGAATCCTGATTCCATAGACGTAAAACCGTGTGCCCGAGAATGAAGGAAATACAGACTAGATGAGCATTAACAAGGCTGATTCGGTATGCGCTTTCCATTTTTTAAAGTTTCTTTACTTTTTAAGTAGTCACTACACCCAACATGGGGCTCGGACTCAGAACCCCAAGATCAAGAGCCAAATACTCTTCAGACTGAGCCAGCAGGGCACCCTCACACTTGCTATCTTTTAAGCACAAGATAATGTATTAAGCACTTTGCAGACACCATGAGGTGGGTAATTTTAAACCCATGTTATGGATGATGAAATGGACTTAGGGCGGCTAAGTGACTGGCCCAAGGTCACACTGCTGGTGACTGGCAGAGCTGAGAACTGAAGTCAGTCTACCAGACCCTTGAGCCTGTAGCCACCACAATCCACTGCTTTTCTACGATGAGAGAGATACAAGCCAAGAGTGGGGAGGAAGCCAGAGAGGGCATCCTGGGGGTGAACACATTTGTTAACCCCACCCAGAGGCCAAGAGATGGGAAGAAGCCTCGTTCCCACCCGAAGTGGGCCTTGAAGCCCTCTCAGCCTCAGGGGACTCTCTACTCATCATAAATAGATCACTGTTAGAAATCCTCCCTGTGGCCACTGCCTTGGGGACTGTCCAGCTCCCATGGCCCCACCTGCAGGTCTTGTGGCCAGTCCCCAGCCCACCTCCCTGGCCCTGGGCCTCAATGCATTACACAAGCCCCGCCTCCGGCCCCCACCAGCCTCCTTGCTGTTCTGAATTCCCTGGGCTCTTGTCTGCCCTTTGTTCAAAGCCTTCGTCCCACCTGAAATGCTTTCTGCACTTCTTCCTAACCAAATCCTACCGTTTCTCCCAAGCAGGCCTCTCTCCAGGCCTCCCTTCTCCCTCCAGTCTTCCCCAAGACTAGGAAAGCCGGACGGTAGCTATTTTGGGGGGACCAGCCTCTGGTTAACAGTTGGCTCTAAGGAAATAGTACACTTGGTGGCTCCTTTTTGTCTGAGTGAACATGGGGCTCAGGAATGGGGCCTGGGGCCCTCTAACACCAACACACAGATCTGGACTAAATGAAACAATCATTACAAAGTCATAGTCATGTTTATTACAAAGTAACACAAAACACATCCTCACCCAGGGCCTGGGGCCCTGCAATGGGCATGGATCAGGGGTGGGGTAGGGGTCAGGGAGGACTCGCATGTAACATTTTGTGCTAAAAATCAGCAGCTTTGACATTTCTGACCCTATGTTTTGATACATGAAAACCTCAAAACTCCCTCATCTGCAGCACCGGCTCAGGCCTACAAAGCGCAAGCCATCAGTGCTGATAGGCCTGTGGATGAACAAAGGCAGGAATGCAGACCTAGGTTTGGGGCTGCACACACAGTGAAGGGGGAGACCCTGAGGGCACCTCCTATCCCCACCCTTTCCCTCGGCCTCCTTTTCAGGGCCCTGAGGAGGACTGGGCATTCTGGGCCTGGAATCTTTGTAGATCTGTAAAAATCAATAGCGGCCAAGGCTTTTCCTGGAGGCATGACCTTCAAGGAACAAAGAAAGCACCCGTTTGAGGATGGGATGTGGAACTTATCACAGGCGAGCCTGGCTCAGGCTGGGAGGCCCCAGGCAAACGTCCAAGGGCTGAGCAGTCCCTGGTCTGTCTGAGGCCTGCTCCAGAGGAGGGGATGAGCGGGGAGGTAGAAGGTCAGGACAGAGGACTGGAGACAGAAGGTTGCCACAAAGGCGTCTGGGGAGGCCCAGGCTCTTCATGGAGCTGCTTCTGCACGGACGGGGAGACAGAACACAGCAGCTTTAATCCTTTCGGGAGTCAAGGGCCCACCAGAGGGCTGGCCGCCCCCTCTGCCGGATGGTGAAGAGCTTTCCTGCTCCGCTGGCCAGACCAGCTGCCGGCACCAGTCCCAGCCATTGTGACTGGCTTCCTGGCCCACAAAGAGTGGGTTGGAACCAGAGCCTCCGGCTTCAGTGGCCAGAGCTGGAGGCCTGTGAAGTTCAGAGCCGAGGGCTGTCCCATTCCCTCTGTCTATTCCCCACCAGGCCAGCCCCCACAATTCCAGGCCTCTCTCATCACCAAATGCATGGCTTTGGGTAGCCCCAGGACTTCTCAGGGGTCAGCCCAAAGGGCATACTCAAGTCTGTCCTGCTCGTCTCGGGGAGATGATACGAGGCTCTGACCAGCTGGCGGATGGAAAAGGGCTTAGGAGTGGAGTGGCCAGTTGGGGTGGGGAAGAGCCCTGATGTTCAGATGAAAGAGTTAGGCCAGCTCCCTTCAGCCTCTGACCTCCCATTGTTCTGCTTTCCTGAGTGGCCACTATGGGCCCAACCCTGCACACAAGCCATTTCACTGTGCCTTCACCCTACACTCAGAGCAGCACTGGCTCCGTTTCACCGATGAGGAAAACGGGGCTCAGAGAAGTCCAGCCACCTGCCCAGAGCTTTGTTGCTGACAAGTGGCAGAGTGGGGACGCTAGCCAGATCTGACTCTTCACCACGACACCGCGCCACTGCCACCAAGGTTCGTGAGCACAGGCTCCACCCCCAAAGAGTGGGGTTCCCCTGACCCCTGTGCAGGGCCAAGCACACAGCCAGCCACAATGGGAGAGTGACAAAGCTCTTTGGTGGCCCTGGCAAGGACTTCTAGGACCATGGAGAATGCCACCCTCTCCCCCATCCACCCCACCAGTGCAGCACCTCCGTCCCCAGGCAGGGGCGAGGTACTAATTCCAAAATGGGAGGTGTGTGTCGGCCTGTCCCTCTTGCTCCTCCCAGCTCTGGCTGTCATCCAGATGTCACCTCTCGCCTCAAGGAACCACCCTCTTCCTATTCTATCAGTGGCTGGGGCAAAGGGAATGACTGCCCAGAGACTGAAGGAGGTAGTACTAGTTCACACCCCTAGTCACCATGTCTGAAGTCCCCTCCTGAAAATGCTATGCTCTACAAGCGGGAGGCTCACATCAGCCATGGCACACGGCTGTGGGGCTCCTGGGCAGGTAGGGGGGAGACGCGGGCCGCTTGCTGCTGCTTACGCCTGGCTATGCTGTCTCTGTCACTTACAGTTGAAGCCACACTGAGGCAGCAGGACAGCAGGCTGGAGGCTGGGAGAGGCAGGGAGAGGAAAAGGGGACACAGCTTGATCCTATCACCTTCCCAGAATCAGAGTGTCAGGTCTCTAAGGACTTCAGAGATCAGAGTCAAGACCTCAGCTTCAGATGGGGAATTGAGGCCCGAGGAGAGGCAGTTGACAGATGCCTGGGGTCACTTTTTATCAAAAGACTAGGAGTTGAACTTGAACAGACTTCCAGGCTCCCAGGCTCCATTCACTGCCCTGGTTTTGACACAGGCTAGAGCCCTGAGGCTGAGGGCCAGGTGGGAGCCATAGGAGCTCCACTGTTTTGTGCAAAGAGGTGGGGGTGGGGACAGAAAAAGAGAACGTCATTGTGGGCTCCTGGGCTCCGCTATAGCCTGCCAGGGCTCCTGCTGCCCCAGGGCACACTGAGACCACTCCATTCAGGAAGGACAACCTGAAGCTATAAAGCACCAAACACATGCCAGTGCTTTCCGGGAATCTCTGCAACGTGGGTGGTTTTTGCCTAAGATCACTCAGCTAGAAGGAAAGCTGGAGAGACAAGGGGCCTGAGTGTCCTCTTGCTGACAGGGGGACACCTGCAGGAAGGATCCACATGGCTCCTCGAAGGAGGTCCTCCCATGAGCACACACGGAGGGGAAAAGTAGAGTGTGGGGTCTGGGTCATATCGGGTGTCCCCCTCGGCCCTTCCACTAAGACTTCTGCCCCCCCTGTGGCACGAGCAGCTCTTTGTCCTCTTGACTTTCTGCTCCCACCACCCCCATTTCCAGGACAGGGTGTTTGGTCAAATACCCAGCAACCCCCCTCCACTGGCTCTCAGATGCCCAGACTTGGGCAGGCTGTTTCTCCCTCTCTCCCCACCTCCACCCCTGCCCTTGAGAAACGGAAGGAGCTCAAGTCACAGCTGGCCCACAGGGGCACTGGGGCAAGGGAACAGAAGAAAGTTGTGCTGGAAGGCCAAAGGGGGACATGGACATGCAAATGGCCATGTGACCGGGTGAGAGGTGGCAACCCTCTGGGGCAGGGCATCTGGCTGGGGCCACTGCTGCCCGGGCAAGCCCTGGTTCTCCACTGGGGCTCAGCCAGCACTGGTGCTTCCTAGGCCAGGCTCCCAGCTTCTGACCATCCACAAGCTGTCCGTCCCTCACAGCCCAGCTCCCTCTGTGGAAACTGCAGTTAGACCCCTAGGAAGGCCAAGAGGCCGCAGGCCTATTCCCTGGGGCCCCGATGAGCACCTTCACAGCTTGCCTAACCAGGGCCTCCATCCGTGAGGCCCTTTAATTCTCACAGCAACTATGCGAGGCAAAGAGGTGTAGTGACTTGCCCGAAGTCACATGACCAGAGCATTCAAAACTCGGGATTCAAACCCAGTCTTATGTCGCAGCCCCAAGCCTGCCAGCCTGGCTGGCACATCTGTCTCTCCCTCTCCATGCCCCCTCATCCCCCAGTGCAAGAATGACCAGAAAAAGCAGTGCTTTGGTCTGTGATGGTCAATGTCTTTACTTCTAAAGCATACATTGGACTCACTATATATTAACATCAAAAGGGGCTATCTAAAGTGGAGTCGTTCTTTTTAAAAATCCAAATTTTCACATTTTAATAGAAGATCCAAAATGACATGAAATTAAACTATACAATGTTATGAACAGTATAACAACTGCTTTTAGAAAGCAAAAGGAAAGGGGGGAAAATGAGCAGTTGGGCCTGTGGTCGGCCTGGGTTCCATGTCTTTTGAGGCATTGTGACGGGGAGCCAGCACCGAGGGGAAGGACCGGCCCCTTTCTGCAGGCACAGGAAGGGAGCCCAGTCCCATAGAGGAGGCAGCTGTGGCCTCTTCAGCCTTCTCAAGGTGACAGTGAAACAAGGGGGCCTCCCTGCTCCTCTGGGCCCTTGGTGCGAGCACTGATTAAAGTCTTTCGAGACCCACACTCAAGGAGGAGGGCCGGAAGGGGGCAGGGCTCAAAAGAATCACTTTGATATTATAGGTCCTGGGGCTTCCTAAGGAGGGTCCCTGCTGGCCAGTCGATTCCAGCCACCTACCGGTTTCCTTAACAACCCCCTTCCCCAGCTCCCTATTGCCCCAGACACCCTTGATTCCATGAGCCCCGGAGGTCAGCCGGAGACCTAGAGGGACCCCAGAGGGAATGCTCTGGCCTTGGAAGTCACTGGATGTTGTCCAGGACAGTGCAAGACCCCTGGAGTCCAGGCCAACAGCCAGACTGTGGGGACGGTGCCCACGGGCTGGGAGAGCACTGTGGGATCAGAGTCCTTTCACCTCCCCCACCTCGGGTGCCCAGGCCTGGTCTTGGCCCAGAAGCAGAGCAGAGGCAAGCTGATTGGAGCCACACCCTTGACACTTTGGTTCACACATTCAAGGGGCAGGACACTTGTTTGCATCCACTGGTAAGATCGTGGGCTTGGCCCTGCTTCCTCCCAGGCACCACGGTGGTCTAACAATCCCCTTCTTTCACGTCAGCAGTCCTGTCTGGCCGTGAGCCAGAGCTTGGAACCACGTTGCCCAGAGCTTGGAACCACGCTGCAGGAGTAGGAGGGGTGCTTCTGGGACAGCAAGATTAGCCCTCCGCACAAAAGCTGCCTTTCGTCCTTTCCCTGTGGATGGCACTGTCCCTGGCTGATTGTGTCACAGGAAAACGTCTCTGCCTCCTCCCTTCGGGCTGGGCCAGTTGTCTCCAGGCAGACCCGGCTCACAGCCGTGCAGCCCTCCTGTTCCGTCTCAGTATCAGAAACCAAAGGGCACATCGCCCCTAGCTGGAGACAGACAGGCCTGCGGCTCACCGCGTGCTCCCCTGGTCCCCAGGACTGTATCACAAAGCTGGCCTTCTCCCTCAAGCAGCAACTTGAAAGAGGGTCCACCCCACCTATGGGGTCCCAGCCCTTCTCTCAGGCCCTACCATGGCCATCCTCCTTCCTAAACTATCTGGTTTCTAGTTGGGCTGAAAAGTTTGGGAACATTGGGCTGGCACCAATCCCTCTGCCGGGTAGAGAGAGGCCACTTGATTTCCAGCCTGGTTCCAAGCCCCCAGAGACAAGGGAGGGGGCGCTGATGGCTCTCAAGAAAAGGAATCTTGAAATGGAAAGAGGTTTGTGGGATCAGGACCAGTCCCAGCAATCTGGCTCCCCCACCTCCAGGCCCCCACTTCCACCCCCAGCCCCCCCCCCCCCAGGGCAGCCCTGGGCCCTCTGTTCTCAGGGTCACTCTGGGTGCAGGGCCCAGGGCCTCAACCACCGGGCCGGGGCTGGGTGGAGGGCTCACTGCGAGGAGCCCGGGCTGGGACGGGATGGGGGCCGAGGCGCGCACTCAGGGCAGGCAGGCGGCTACCTGGTAGGCGCCCTCTGCAGCTGCCGCAGCCGCGCTGTGCTGCGCGCTGTGCTCCTGCAGCAGGGCCACGTCCAGGAAGCGCTCGCCGCACCACACGCACTTGAACTGCTGCTCGCGGGCGTGCACACCCTGGTGCTTGTTGAGATGCTCGCGCTGCTTGAAGGCCTTGTCACAATTGGGGCACTTGTAGGGCTTCTCCCCCGTGTGCACGCGCCGGTGCCGCTGCAGGTCCGACGCGTACTTGAAGCGCTTCTCGCAGTCCGGGCACTTGAGTGGCTTCTCGCGGGCTGGGTCGCAGCGGTGCTGCACGAACTCCGAGGAGGAGAAGAAGCGGCGCTCGCACAGGGTGCAGCGCAGGGGCTTCTCGGCTGCCGAGCAATGGGCCAGCTGGTGCTTCTGCAGCGCCGACGCGCGTTTATAGGCCTTGTTGCACACGGGGCACTTGAAGGGCCGCTCGGCGGCGCCCGGCAGGCACTTGTGCCGCAGAAGCTCGGCCGACTGGTCGAAGCCCTTCTGGCACACGGGGCACTTGAAGAGGGTCTCGAGGGTGTGCACGTGCTGGTGGTAGAGCAGGTGGCTGGGCTGCCCGAAGCCCTTCTCACACAGGCCGCACTTGAAGGGCTCCTCGGTCTTATGCGTGCGCCGGTGCCGCATGAGCGCGTACTGCTGCTTGAAGCCCATGGGGCACAGGTCGCACTTGAAAGGCCGCTCCGCGCTGTGCGTGCGCTCGTGCTGCCGCAGGTCCGACGGCCGCTTGAAGGCCTTCTGGCACTCGCCGCAGCGGAAGGGCCGCTCCCCACTCGGCGTGCACGGGTGTTGCAGCAGCTCCGAGGACTCCTTGAAGTGCAGCTCGCACACGTTGCAGCGGAACAGGTGGTGCTCGCCCGAGTGCGCGTACATGTGGCGCACCAGGTGGGAGCGGTGCTTGAAGGTCTTCTCGCACACCGCGCACTTGTACGGCCGCTCGGAGCTGTGAGTGCGCTTGTGGTGCACCAGGTGGGACGACTGGCTGAAACTCTTGTCGCACAGTGTGCACTTGTATGGCTTCTCGCCCGTGTGGATTCGCTCGTGCCGCGACAGCTCCGACAGGTGCTTGAAGGGCTTCTGGCAGATGGAGCAGCTGTAGGGCTTGTCGGCCTGTTCGGCGGGGGCGACGGCGGGTGGCGCGGCTGCGGGGGGCAGTGAGGAGGCGGCGGTGGCCGCGGGCTCGGCGGCCTCGGCCGGCTTGTAGGTCTTCTCGCAGATGGAACACTTCACAAGGCCACCGGTGCCGCTGTGCGCGCTGTGGTGCTGCGCCAGCGAGGTGAGCAGCGAGAAGCCCATCTTGCAGACGCCACAGACAAAAGGCTTCTGTTCAGCCTGCACGCACTGGTGCTCCAGCAGGTCGGTAGCCTGATGGAAGATCTTGAGGCACTGCGTGCACTGAAACGAGCGGTCGTGGCCCGCCAGGCACTGGTGCTCATGCGGGCTGGAGAGGTGCGCCAGGTCGTGACCGCACACGCCGCACTTGGGGCCCGGCTCGCCGGCTGCCTGCAGGGGCGCGTGCTGCGGGGGCTGGAGGCCCGGGTCGGGCTGCAGGAGGATGCCGTAGACAGCGCAGCCCAGGGGGTTCTCAGCTGAGCCTGGAGGCAGCGAGTGCTCGGCCAGGGCCGGCGGGGGCTCGGCGTGGTGCTGCGGCTGCGGCGGCTGCGGCTGCTGGGGCTGCGTCTGCGGAGGCTGCTGCCAGCTCTCGGACATGCTTGCGAGGATGAAACAGGGCTTGGAGAGTAATGGCTTCAGTTTCCCACTTAAGGTGATCCAACCCGGACAGAGGCTGCCTAGGACCAGGTACGGACAAAAACCTCGGGCAAGGCACAGAAGAGGGACTGGTCAGACCGCCCAACTCGTTAACCAAGACAGATTACAAGGCTCTGTCTGCAGGACAGGGGGCTCTTCGAGGCAGGGTGCCAGCAATGCCAGAAAGGTTCTGCCTTCCCCGATGATTGCTTCTGTAGAGAAGAGAAACTTGGTGAGCTCAAGGCAGAGATACACAGCTGGTCCCTGGACCCTCTCCCTGTTCTGCCTGCATTTGCCACACCGCTGCCACCTCAAGGAAGGGAGAGAGGCTCAGGGCTGGAATATCTGCTCTTCACACAAGACCAGAGAAGTCGGCCAGCAGCTCAGCTCCTCCAGCTGAGAGCCTCCCAGCTCCCCAGCCTACGGCCAGCCCTCTTCAGTCAGCTGTGTCACAGATAAGGGGCTGGGATGATCTGCTCGTAACACAAAGAAGTCATAAATTCTGCTCCTGCTCCAAAGGAAGAGAGAGGGGAAGACTGACCCATTAAGACAAAACTATTTTAGCAGCATACCTTTTTTTTTTTTGCAAATAAATTCTTACTTGGAAGCCCAATATGTTAGAGAAAAGCAGAGGCAGTGGTTGAGGACTCCCTGAGGCTTTCCAGCTCCCGAGAGCCCTGAATCTCAACCCAGGACATCAGTGCTCAGGATAAGAGCCTGCTGGAACAGAGAACCAGGCCTCCCAGATCTGAGGGCCCAACAGCAAAGAGCCTCACAGTCAACATTTAAAGCAGCTACAGGAACCCAGGAACATCTCAAAAAACTTCTTTTGGGAGGGGCTGCACCACATGCCTCTCAAGTATTCCGCAGGCCCGCTATCCTGACCATGGGCCTGTTCTTTCTCCACACGACATCTATCTAGGTGGCCCGGCAGAGCCTTGAGCCGATGAAGATGGGGGGTAGATGCTAGGTCCACACACACCCACCCAGCCTGGAGGTCTCCACAGCAGCACACCCCCCACTCTAGTTATCTGCCAAAGCACCCAAAGCTCCTGAATCCTCTGAACCTGGCAATGCCAAGGCCTCCTGGAAAAGGCAGACAATTAGAAGTTTGCCTCTGCAATGTGGCAAGTAGCATGCTAACCACAGAGCATTTCTCCTCTCTCCAGGACATCCTGGAACAGATAACCTTTCCAGACAACCCTGTTCCTTTGCTCCAAATCCATAACATTTTGGGTTATCAGTGGAGAAGGTAAAGACCACCCATCCCAGGCAAATCTCTAACTCACCACTTTGTGGCAGCATAAGGTAAGGACAGCGAGAGGGAAGTACTTTTAGAATTACAGGCAACCCACTTTCAGGTTTCCAGCTCCTCTGCCTCAAACACCGAAAAGTTTCTAAGTTTTCCCTTGAGGGAAAGAGGAGACAAAAAGGGGATGGCTTCACAGGCCAGCCCTGCCTCTAACTGTTCTGCCAAAGAAACATAAGAGTCTGGGGGAAAAACTGTCATCCACAGTATCTTCCGGGAAGGAAAGAAGGAAAGGAGTCGCTGCTCCTGGCCGAGGCAGCAGGTTGCATGAGCAAGCAGGTAGGGAGCCTCCCCAGGAAAGAGGGAGGTGGGGCTACTTTGAGCGCTGTCTAGGTCCGGATGCGCCAACCCAAATGTTCCGTTGTCCCACCCCCCTTCCCCCGCCCCCAGCATGAATGGCTGCCAGAACCAGGGTCCCCAGTCCTGGGCCCCCAGCTGCACTGCCCACCCCTGCCCTTTCCAAGAAGGTACAGCACGGAGGCCTGATAATTCCGCAAAGAGGAGTGACTAGTGCAAGGGAGGCAAAGGGAGGCCCCCACTTGCGTCCCAAGCCAGCCCTTCCTCTTCCCTGGGAAACCGAATGAAAGGCGATCACCTCCCCGCCACCGGCACTGCTACCTGCCCAGCTGGGCCGCCTCCTGTCAGCCCTCACCGAGACTGGCCAGGCCGCTACAGGCCAGAGCGCCGGCCCCGCGGGCGACTGAGCCGGAGGAAGGCCCCAGGGCCGCAGGCTGGGCCCGGATAGCAGCTACGCGCCCAGCGGCCCAGGAGGCCGCCGGGTTGGGCCGGAGGTTGGGAGGGGGAGGGTTGGGGGGGTTGGGGGGTGGCGGGCGGACGGGCTGGGGAAGGGGTGCGGCGGACGCAGGAGTGGCCCCCAGACGCAGCCTCAGGCGCCCCGGCCGCTCACCTGCTCCAGGCCGCCCGCGGGGTCGGACGCGGGGCTTGTGGCGTCCGGCTGCTCTCTCCGCTGCCCCTTTATTCCGGCTCCAGCGGCGGCGGCGCGGCCTACGCGCACTGCCAATCCTCGGCCTCGAGTAGCGGCGGCGGCGGCCGGCCCGGGGGCGGGGAGCCGGCTAGCGGCGGCCGGGACCGAGGAAGCGACGTGCGCGGCCGGGATAGCGGGGCCAGAGCGGAGGAGCGCCGGGAGGGCGGGCGGACGGACCGACGGCCTTGCAGAGACCGGCGGACAGGCGGGCGGCGCGGGGGCCAGGGAGGCGGGGCCGGGGGAGGAGCGGCAGCCGGGGCGGCGGCGGCTGCGGGAGGAGCGGGCGGCTCGGAGCGAGGCCGCCCCCTGCTGGGGACCCCGCGGCCAGGCTGGGTCGGACAGTCAGGCGTGAGAGGTGGCTTTCCAGTTACACGGTCGGCACGCCTCAGCTGACCCAGGGAGGCCCCTCGCTTCCGACCAACCTGCTCGCCCTTAGGGAAAGGGGGCTCCAGCGGCGCGACCCCCGGGCCCGACGCCGGCACCTGAGAAGAGAGGCCTCCTAGACCCTCTGATCTTCTGGAACTGACCCGCCGCTGACTGCTCAGCTTGCTCTTAAGGGACGGGCCCCTGGAGCTCGGCCTTTGCACCCGCTTGAGGAGGGGGCTCCCGGATCTCTAATCCCATCTCCGTTGGGTCTAGGGCACTGATCGCTGACCCAGGGACCATTCGTGGCTGGGAGGTCTGGTTGCGGTTGGCTGCAGATAGAGAGGTCAACGCCCAGAGCGATCTGTGAAATGGGCACACGGAGGCTGTGGGGGGTGGGGTTCCAGGAGGCTCCAGGTAGCGGTCCAGGGGCTGGAACCCGGCAGGGAGCGTGGTCTGGGTGGTAAAGACTCGCCTGAGTCCCGCTGGACCCCGCCCTCCAGGCCCCGCCCCGAGGCGGTGCTAACCCGGGCCCCGCCCCTGGAGGGCACTTCCGGCGTAGCGAAATTCCGGGTGCTAGTGCTCTCTGAGCCGGCGTCTAGCCGTGGAGGAGGCCCAATGAGTTCGGCGCCCCTGGTGGGCTACAGCAGCAGCGGCTCGGAGGATGAGGATGAGGCCGAGGCGGAGGCTGAGGCCGCGGCCCAGGCGCGGCTGGGGGCTGGAGGCTGCCCTCGGTAAGGAGTGAGAAGAAGTCTTTTTGGGGAGGGTGCTGGTTCGCGCGACACCCCTATGGGACCCGGGTATCTTGGGGGGAAGGGGCGATGGTGCGGGGCGGCTCTCCAGGATAGGACAGGGGAAGCCGCGGGAAAGGAGGATCCGGAGGACAGCCCTGGACTAAGCCCCAGAGTGCCCCCTCCTGGCTAGGCCAAGATTACGGGGCAGGTAACGTGGGCTCGGGTCTAGCCCCCGCGGCTGGCGTGCACCACAGCACCACCCCTGGGTCTGTTTCCTCTTTCGGGGAGTGTTTTCATTCATCCAGTAAAATACTCATTGAGCACCCGCACCGCGCCAGGCTCGGGACTGGGACACTCGGCAGTGAACAAAACCGGCGAAGCCTTATTTCGTGGAGCTTCAGCTCTCAAATGCCAAGCCTGGTGCTTTGAAGAGTGCCTTTCAAGCAGTAACTGGCTTGATCTCACAATAGCTCTATCAGGTACACTTCACCGATGAGGAAACTGAGGCCCACAGAGTGCCCATGACCTGCTCGAGACCCCAAAGCTAGGCAGTGCTATTGCAATTCAGGCTTGTCCAGTTAGGAAATGTGACCTCTGAACCACACACTGCTGCCTGCCCATTGCCTTCCCTGGGAACCAACTCCCACCAAAGGCAGGCTCCTGGCGTTGCTGAGCAACCGCAGTGAGACAGCGCTGGGGAAAGAGCTTTGTGGTTTCTGGAAGCTGCTTACAGCACCTGGTGGGAGATAGGTGCACACGGTCCACCCTGTATGTACACGGTAGAGAATTCTAGGAGGATAAATGTGCTCTCTTCCTTTTTTTTACCTTGCAGCGCCCAGAGCCCCCTTCCCAGCCAGAGGTTGCCAGTACCCGACAGTGTGCTGCACATGTTCCTGGGCACTGAGGAAGGGCATGAGGATGACAGCGCGAAACACGGGGGCCGGGTGCGCACCTTCCCCCACGAGCGGGGCAACTGGGCCACCCACGTCTACGTGCCATGTGAGTAATGTGTAAAAGATGAGTGGCTGAGAATGATAGGTGCCTCTTTTTTTTTTTTTAATATTTTTTATTTATTTCTAGGAGAGAGAGAGAGAGAGACAGCCAGCGTGAGCAGGGGAGGGTCAGAGAGAGAGGGAGTCACAGGCTGAAACAGGCTCCAGGCTCTGAGCTGGCAGTCAGCACAGAGCCCGATGCGGGGCTCGAACCCACGAACCACAGATCATGACCTAAGCGAAAGTCGGAGCTTAACCGACTAAGCCACCCAGGCGCCCCATCTCTGATAGGTGCCTCTTGATGGGAGGAGGCTGGCCCCAACCAGGAGGAAGAGGCCAGAAACCTCTGTCATCGATGGTAGGAGAGAGATGGGCTTAGCAGAGAGAGAATAAGTTTCAAGAATTGGGAGATTTTTCTGTAAATTTGGTTTCAGTTTCAAATTCATTGCCTGAAATATTTTTTATTAACCCTAGGCTAATAAAAAATAATGTTTTCTCTCTCATGAGGAGGTGACCAAGCGAGGGTCTAAGCAGAGTGTCAAGGCCACCCCAGAGTGGGATGTTTATTTCTAAGAGGGCCCTAGGTGTGCTAGGGTCAAGTTCCTTTCCCCTCCCAGCCCTCGTGAGTAAATGGCAGGCAAAAAATGACCAGGCTTTGGAGTGAGACCTCACTTTACTACCTACTGCTCTGGGTTCCCTTCAGTAAGTTACTGGACTTCCCAGAACCTCAGTTTCCTCATCTCTAAAATGGGGAATACATATCTCCTAGGACTTTTGTGAAGATTAAATCAGATCACTTATGTCAGGCTCTTAGCACAATATGCAGAGTAAGTAGTGGCTCTTAGTATTTTGCATTAGATCAGGTCAACCCTTAGGACCTCCATTTCCACCATCCAGTCAAATGAGACTGATTCCTATACTGCCTACTCACCAGGGTTTTGGACAAATCAAGTAACACTGGGTGTGGGCAGACTGTTAACCATGCAGCTCCAGTCATACATTTGATTTAAAAAACAAATCGTGAACATACAGTGGTGGTCATTGTAGTGATCCTTGTCTTTGTGAAAAATTAGGAGCATTCTAAATGTTTATCAGGAAGTTCTAAACGTCTAATGGGAGACTAAAAAGTGCCATTTGTGATTATGGATTACTATGGCGCTGTAGTCACGAGCTTGCCCTAGAGAGCAAGCCATCTAGCGTATCCTGCTGTATGAAGAAAGCCAGTGGAAGAACAGTTTGAATGGTGCACTGTCATCTTTTCAATAAATAAAATACATGCATTAGTACATACACTGCGAAAGGGCTGGGAAGGGGCGCCTGGGAGGCTCAGCCAGTTAAGCATCAGTTTCAGCTCAGGTTACGATCTCACTGTTCATGAGTTTGAGTCCCACGTTGGGCTCTGTGCTGACACTGCAGAGCCTTCTTGGGATTCTCTCTCTCCATCTCTCCCTGCTCATTCTCTCTCTCTGTCTGTCAAAAATAAACATTAAAAAAATAAAATAAAGGGCTGGGGAGATAGGCATCCAAGCTTGGCAATCTGGATATCTAGGGTAGTCGTCTTGAAAGTGGGGTATATTCCCCCTGGGGGAGAGGTCAAGAGGATCCACTTAGAAGAAAAGTATTAGAACCTCTTTACATATTTCTTTTTATATCTCAGCTCGCAAAGTTTCTGTCCTTGGGGCACCTGGCTGGCTCTGCCGGAAGACCATGTGACTTGATCTCGGGGTTGTGAGTTCAAGCCCCACACTGGGATTACTTAAAAGAAAGGAAGGAAGGAAGGAAGGAAGGAACTTTAAATAAATAAAATAAATTTTCTGTCCTTCAGAGTATACATTTTACAACACACAATTTTGTAACATACACATTTGTTATTTATTTATTTATTTATTTTTTAATGTTTATGTATTTTTGAGAGAGAGAGAGAACGCGTGAGTTGGGGAGGGACAGAGAGAGAGGGAGACACAGACTCTGGAGCAGGCTCTGGGCTCTGAGCTGTCAGACAGAGCCCGATGTGGGGCTCTAACTCACAAACTGTGAGATCATGACCTCAGCCAAAATTATGAGTCTGCCGCTTAACCAACTGAGCCACCTAGGCTCCTCTGCCTATTTCCTTTTTCACTTGAATTCTTTACAATGAGCATATGTGTGTTACTTCTTTAACCATTAGACTATATTAAGATATTATTAAAATACATACAGCTAGGCTGCTCTCAAAGTCATTTTCTCCTAAAACCCAGAGTAACAGGCCTTTCTCTGCCTTCTGGGGTTCAGCCCCGCCACCCTGGCTAAGCCTATCCACTCTCCCTTCCAGATGAAACCACGGAGGAGTTCCTGGACCTGCTTGACACATTGCTGCCCTGTGCACAGACACACGTCCCCCGGCTGGTTCGGATGGAGGCATTCCACCTCAGCCTGTCCCAGAGCGTGGTTCTGCGGCACCACTGGATCCTCCCCTTCGTGCAGGCTCTGAAGGACCGCATGGCCTCCTTCCAGCGGTGAGTGCCCAGAGCTTCCTCTGCCTCTCATCTCCTCTCCCCTCCTGTGCTCAGCTACTGTGGGGGCGTAGGTGTGGGGGTGCTATCCCACCTGGCCGCCAGACCTAAAGGTTAGAACACGGCGCATCTCCCAGAGCCACCTGCTATGCGCCTCATCCTGAGCGACCTTGGAGCATATGACAGAAGTTCTGGAAGCCTCGAGTCCTTACCTGTGGGCAGGTCACGGGAGCGGTGGTAGGAGACCCGTGAGCGGCGTGGCACCTGGCGAAGGATCAGAACTGGACCCTGCCTCCGGTTTTGTCTGCCAGCTGAAGACGTTCTCTTCCTCAGCTTTTCATAGCTCTTCTTGTTACCAGAGAGTGTTTCCTCCGACTCTTGAGCAGATCAAAGCCCTGCTCCTTCACTGATGCTCTGCGCTTTGGCATCTCCCCCAGAGTCCCTCAGTCCCAGGGATCGTCCCGGGCTGTGGCGGTGCATACCCTCGTGCTCACATCATTCATCCCCAGTCATTGCCATGTGCGTTTTCCCCCATGGCACCAGGCGCCTGCAGGCCCAGGGACTCAACTTCTCTCTGGATCCCCGCATCTCTTCTCCAGGTGCTTTGCTCAC